CAAAAAAAAAGATAATCAAAGACAAAAATAGATTAAATTACTGGTGAAAACCACTGATCACGGAGAGAAGGTAGTTATGTCCCCTCTTTCCCAGTTCCTGCTCCTTTTGCCTTGGGAGCTCCCCTCAGGGAAGTCACTTCACCTTCAGTTCTTTCACCAGGAGATGAGGAATCAAAGCTGCTCTCAATCCCTTGGCTGACCTGAGTCTTCTTTGCCTGAACAAATATGCGAGAGATCGGATCCTGTGACTCAGACGCTCCCTCTCTTTGGTAAATGTCTTGTGGACAGATTTGCCATCATTTTTCCTCATTCCCTGCCCTCCCTCCCTGCCCCTGCTTGGTAAATATTTGAGTACTCCATGAAGAACTGGCTGGCTCCCTTAGGAGCAGCCATGAACATCACCAACCAAAATAGCCCAAACATGGTGGAACGTTAAGATCATGTCACCTCAGGAAAAAGAGAGGAAAAAGATGTCTATCCCACATCCTTGATGCTAAGAGATGAAAAGGGACAGATAATTTTTTCCTTTGGTTTTGTCAGTGTGCCTTAAGACATTTTTTATCCAAACAACTTTTCAATGAATACCAAATCTGTGAACAGTTTCTAGACTATAAACCCAGCATTTTTCTCAACAAAATTCCCATTTGCCACCAAGAGGAAAGAAAAATTACCCAGCTCTGTCTCACTACGTGTAGGTGAGCTACGTTTCATATGAACTTGAATCCTAGCCTAAAAAAAAGCTGTGATTAACCAACACATACACTTGACCTCAGCACCATGGTCTGACTGTCCCTACACACAAATCTCATTTTGAACATTTCCTGTGACAAAAGGTGAGGATTCAGGGCAGGGAGAGAGTTGTGTCCCTGCCATTTTCTGGAGGCGTGAACAGCACCTCCCTTGCACACCCCCATGTATTATATTCCACTTGTCCCTGTCACGCTCTAGATAATGTTGATTCTGTGCTGTGAAGAGTGTCTGACTCTCCCCTTGACTAATCCTGGGGTGCTGGAGGGTCCTCTCTGGAGCTTGAGAACTTGACCTTTGCTGACCCAAGTTTGACAGGGATGCAGATCCATCTGGCTGCCCTCACTCATCCCCACTCACCCCAGGAGTTCTCCCCTGATACCCTGTCAGCACAGGCTTTCAGACAAAAGATACTGGTGAAATCAACAACACCAAAGGAATGTGGCCTTCTGGCCTTTGATTGATATTCGTTATTTCAACAAAACCTTAACTCAGTTGAAAATATAGTGAACAACCTGTTATGGCATTTCCAGACAGGACATGTCTGCAGAACTTGCAGGGTCATTGAGGCAATATGTTTCAAAACAAATAATGGGTCTCGCTTTCAAAATCACAAGGTCACTTTATCTGTACTTCATTTTGCAGTCTGCCAAGCTGTTGCTCTCAAACATAATCAACCCTTAGTTACTACCTGCCTTACAATGTTGCCTAGAAGTTAAGGGTTTCCTGGTGCCAAAGGCATAATGGGACACATCTCCTGCCTTACAGAGCTTCCCATCCCACGAGGCTGTTTGCTGACAGGGATTTGAGGAGAGCTGAGACTGCGCAAGCGAAAGCTCAGTACAGAAGCCTGCTTTGGGAGCCATACCATGCCCCTTGTACATCCCTCTCCAAAACAGGAGCCCCCTTTTCCCAGAGAGAGACCCTCTTAGGGCCTTCCTGCTGGGAGCTTTCTGCCCATCATCTTGGAGCATCCTCACCACTGTGCTCAGTCCTTCCTCAGAAGGGAAGTGCCCAGTCCCCGTTACTCAGAAAGGGGGAAAGCAGCACCAGCTAGGAAAGCCAGGAAAGCAACTGTGATGTCAGACAGACATAGTACCCTTCATGAAACAACCCTTTGAAGGGCGCTTTCACATGCTCTTCCTGCTCTCCACAGGGAATTTCTTGGTCACTCCCCCTGCAAGAAAAATTGCAACTCTCTCACATGAAACTGGAAACATTTAAAAGCTTAGGCTATGGCTAGCATCTACTCTAGGGCAAATTTTGATCCTTTTAATGGAGAAGTGAGAGAATTTCCACAAAGGATAGGGAGTCAGGAGAGATTCCATGTACAGAGATCTCTGTCTTAACAACAATATTTTACTGAAAAATTAACTATAACATTGAGGTATTTTATAGCTCCACCCTTTGGAAATGATTTTCTTAGAGAAGAGGAAAAATGTTTAATGCCCTGGTTATCTCAGAACTATTCAGCCCCCACTTGCAAACAAAATTTTTCAAAATATTTTTCTTTCCTATCACACCCTCTCTCATTTCTTTGGGTGTCAGCAACTTCTTCCCTCTGATGCAGAGGCCATACCTTCCACTAGCACGCCTGGCTCCTGCTGCTCTCACATCAGGAAGGAATCATTTGTTGTCCTTTGCAAAGCTGCCAGGTACTCCTACATGACAAAAAGCCCCAACTGTGCTTTAAGCAGAGGAGCCACCCCCCTCCTGCTCAGTTCTAGCTGGTTAATGAATAGAGTGATCCCAGGACATCCCAATATTTGAAAAAGACACTTCCAAAAACAACAGACAAGTGCAGTGAAATAGAGTTGCAAATCAGGAAGGTGGAGCAGGTTTCTTTGCAAGTCTGTCTTTAGTCCACCCTGACAGGGATATTCCCTGCAACCTGAAAAACGCAGGCTGCCGATGACCTCACACAAGCAGAACCTAGGCCTTTAGTTCTGCAAACACTGACACCTTCACAGAACCACACAGAATCACAGAGGTTCATTTAGGTTTGAAAAGACCTCTGAGACTGAGTCCAGTCTTTGATCACCACCTTGTCAACTAAACTATGGCATTAAGTGCCACATCCAGTTGAACAAAAGACTGTGACTCCATCACCTCCCTGGGCAGCCTGTTCCCATGTCTTCCACCCTTTCCATGAGGAAAGTCCTCCTGATGTCCAGCCTGGGCCTCCTCTGGCTCAGATTGAGGCCATTTCCAAAGAGGAACACCAATAAATACTGAAGTGATGAACTTAACTTGTCTCTATAAGACTGTGTCTCCTCATCTGCCCATTACATGTTTTAAAGGTGGGGGTTTTTGGCTGGTAGGACCTTTTGCCCACTTTGGTACCACTAAACATAACCAAAATTGTCTCAGCTTTCCTTTGAGTAAATTAGACTTGGTCTTCTCAAGTATAAACATTACAACAGATACCAGGAATTGTAACATTAATTAAGACACATTAAATACATTGTTTGCACTGGTGATAGTCCTGTGTGAGACTCTGGAGAAGGCAACAAAATTTACCTGTGAGAA